TAAACCAGTTTACGCGTAACTCAATTACCAAGGGATCAATGTGGGGCAGTGTCACTCCAGTCAAATCTGAATCATCAAAAGCAATGCTTGTAGTTTCAAGGGGCTGTTTAGCCGGTGTGAGTTGATTATGAGGGTTGGGACTCGACTGAATTGTATGTACCACAGATGATACTGGCAGGCTGTATATCATGTGGATCACCCCGAGCGGGGGTGAATCCTATCTTAAGGTTATTGCTTTGGTTGGGTTGCCTTTCCGGACGTACTGTTGTAGCCGGCCATCTTGTACCAATTCCTCCAGGTGATCCTTCAATGCATAACAACTCTCAGTATCGTGGCCATGATCCTTATGATACTCACACCGCCTATCCCGTCTTCGCGTGTCGGTAGGTCCCACCATTTTCGACGGCCATTTGAAGAACGGAAGGTGTTGGATTTTGGACATCACCGCACTGATCGGCTCTGTCAACTCTGTATATTTCTTGTCGACGCGCCTTGTGCGACTACTATCGACTTGCAGTTGTTCATTTGCTTGGTGTGAGCATTGGTTGCTTGCTCGGCGAGAATCCCGTCTCTTATCTCGTTTAGCCCGATGTCGCGGTTCGGGGCTTTTGAGGTGGTACGGAACTTATCGACTTAGCAATCTCATAAGGGGCTGTCTTGTTGGCCATGTTTCCGGCTTTAACCCGCAAGGCGTCATCTTCCACCTTGCAATATTCCTAAACTTTCTTCATCAGCGACCAGACTGTTTTGGGGGGTCTTCTAGTCAAGGAGTTGCAGAGAGCACTGTCAGGATGCAAACCCATTTTGAAGGCGGTGATGGCCATGGAGTTGTTGTAAGCGTCATCGACAAGGTTAAAGCACTCCCAATAGCGCGCCGAATACGCTCTTAGTGTTTTTCCTGGCTGGATCTGCATTGCCCAGAGAGAATCGGCTTGTTTCGGCTAGACCTCGTTGGTGATGAATCTGGCCCTGAAGGATTTCTGTAATTGATGGAAGCTTTTGATCGAAGCCGGCTCCAGTTTATAATACTACCTGACAGCCAATGGCCCCAAACTGCTGGGAAATATTCGGCACATGAGGGCCTCGTCATCTGCATGCAATGTCGTGGCTTGCTTGTAATAACAGATGTGATCGGTGGGGTCTGACTTTCCATCATAGAGAGTGAATGACGGAGCTTTGAACTTTTTGGGCAGAACCGCCCTAGCGATCTGTCGCACAAAAGGATCATGCTGGTCTTCTTCATCTGAATTGTTTTTTTTTTGCGCTTATGCCTTATACGTGGACTCTCTTCAGAGGAGCTGGAAGTTTTGGGTCCTCCCTTCTTCTTGGGCTCCGGGGATAATGAGTCGGAGTCGCTATCAGTGTCTTGTTGGCAAGCTCGAGGTCGTCGACCACCTGTCCTTAGAGGTCGTTCTGGATCTTGGCGTACAGCTTGTTTGGACTTCGCTACTTCCAAGGCCAAATCCTAACGGAGACGTTCGTTCTCAGCGATCATGTTCTCCAACCTCTGCTCGTTTTGCTTTGCTTGTTCCATGATCACTTGCATTGCCTCATACTCTGAAGTCTAGGGTGAGGCAAAGTTCAAAGCGCGTCTTGCGGGGATAGTCTCTGGTCCAAGCATGCTGCTTGGAATGGTTTCATCTTGCGGTGTAGGGTCGTGACTGCCGGAGGATCTTCTGTCACACCCGCCATGGATGTGCTTGAGTATTCCCACAGACAGCGCCAATTGTGGGGATATGGATTGGAAATACTCTTTTGATCCTGGAGGACGCTCGTGATCCTCTGGTTGCCACCTGAAAAGGAATAAACACTCCGGCCGGGGGTGCCGGAATTAGCACTCCAATGGACAAGTTAGTCTTTACACTCAGGATTACTTGTATTATAAGTTAAGCACAATAATTCTCACCTACCTCTTTCTGGCTGATGTTCTTCTATTTATATCTTTTCTTCCATAGGCCTCGAGATTAGGTCCATTTCCAACTCATATTTGGCACATTTTATAATAGACCGACCTTCACTCGGCCTTTCTTGTCTCATTTAGCTCGTTGTCGTGGTTCAGGACTCTGAGGTGGTACGGAACTTATTGGCTGAGCAATTTCAAGAGGGGCCGTTTTGTTGGCCATTTGTCCATCTTTAACCCGCAAGGCGTCGTCTTCCACTTTGCAGTATTCCTTAACTTTCTTCATCAATGCCCAGACTTTTTTGGGGGGCCTTCTTGTCAGGGAACTGCGGAGGGCACTGTCTGGCTGTAATCCCATTTTGAAGGCGGTGATGGCCATTGAGTCGTTGCAGGCGTCATCAACAAGATTAAAGCACTCCCAATATCGTGCCGAATACGCCCATAGTGTTTCTCCTGGCTGGATCTGTATTGCCCAGAGAGAGTCGGCTTGTTTCGGCTGGACCTCGTTAGTGATGAATCTGGGCCTGAAGGATTTCTGTAATTGGTGGAAAGTTTTGATTGAAGCCGACTCTAGTTTATAATACCACCTGACAGCCAATGGTCCCAAACTGCTGGGGAATATTCGGCACATGAGGGCCTTGTCATCTGCATGCAATGTCATGGCTTGCTTGTAATGACGGATGTGATCGGTGGGGTCTAACTTTCCATCATAGAGAGTGAATGACGGAGCTTTGAACTTTTTGGGCAGAACCGCCCTAGCGATCCGTCGCACAAAAGGATCATGTTGGTCTTCTTCATCTGAACTGTTTTTTTTTTTTTGCGTTTATGCCTTATACGTGGACTCTCTTCAGAGGAACTGGTAGTTTCGGGTCCTCCCTTCTTCTTGGGCTCCGGGGATAATGAGTCGGAGTCGCTATCAGTGTCTTGTTGGCGGGCTCGAGGTCATCGACCACCTACCCTCAGAGGTCGTTCCGGATCTTGGCGTACAGCTTGTTTGGACTTCGCCACTTCCAAGGCCAAATCCTAACGGAGACGTTCGTTCTCAGCGATCATGTTCTCCTACCTCTACTCGTTTTGCTTTGCTTGTTCCATAATCACGTGCATTGCCTCATACTCTGAAGTCTAGGGTGAGGCGAAGTTCAAAGCGCGTCTTGCGGGGATAGTCTCTGGTCCAAGCATGCTGCTTGGAATGGTTTCATCTTACGGTGTAGGGTCGATAGTGACTGCCGGAGGATCTTCTGTCACACCAGCCATGGATGTGCTTGAGTATTCTCACAGACGGCGCCAATTGTGGGGATATGGATTGGAAATGCTCTTTTGATCCTGGAGGACGCTCGTGATCCTCTGGTTGCCACCTGAAAAGGAATAAACACTCCGGCCGGGGGTGCCGGAATTAGCACTCCAATGGACAAGTTAGTCTTTACACTCAGGATTACTTGTATTATAAGTTAAGCGTAATGGTTTTCACATACATTCCTCTGACTGATGATCTTGTATTTATATTACTCTCCTTCTTGGGCCTCGGGACTGGGCCCACTTTCAATTTGCCGTGTAATTATTTATTCGGCTTAGTTTGCAGCAAACCGTTTCTCACTCGGCCCCTTACTCAATCGGCTATACGGCCGAATAGGGCAAGATTTAAATTGCGGGAGGGGGTCGAATGAAATATATGCTTCGACCCAGGTCCAACTATTCGGCCTCTCCATGAATCCCAATATTCGGCCCCCCACAGGTGTAATTTAAAAAAAAATTAATATTTGTAATTTGTATAATGAGTGAGATCATTAATAATATTATAACTAGTGTTGGTATGCTAATTGCTACACTAATTGATGTATTTAGTACGACCGCTTATAAAATAATTATATAGAATATATGCATCTACAATGATGTTATTTTTAAAATTAGCAATGTTATACCAGTATAATCATAATTTTAAAATAGAACAACGTAACTATTTGTGACTTTTATTATTTCAAAATAAAAAATATATTATTATGATTTATAATTTTAAAAATATCTTTTTATGATTTATAATTGACTACATATATTTTCTAATAGTAACTAGGGGTGCAATTCGGGCGGATTCAGTCGGGTTGGAAGATTGTCCAAGTCCAACTCAAATTGTGCTGAGACCTGCCCAAGCCCGAATTGTAACCCGAGGTTGTCTACCCAAGTCCGACCCGAGTTAAACCCGAATTGGTCGAATTTTAAATGAATTTCAATTTATTTATTTTTTTTGTAGCTATATTATTAAATTATTAAAATTTGACTTTATTTAAAAAAAATTTAATAGAAAATCATTAATACCATCAAAACAAATAATTTATATAATGTAAGAGAGATGCCACAATAGTAATCCTTACAATTTATGAATGAAAATAAAAAGAAAAAAAAGTAAGATTTTATGTTATTTGTATATATAATATATATTCAATACTCCCTCCGTCCCAAAATAACGGTCCCTTTTGGGGAATCCAACTTTTTTTTGTAGTACAATTATTGCTTTTGAAAAAAGTTGATTTTTCAAAATTATCCTTTTGATAGTACATTTTTTGGGAATATCAATGTCATAATTGTACTTTTTATATTATTTATTAATTTAAAAGAAGGGCAAAATAAGAAATTTATATTATTTTTGTACTTGATTTTTGAAGAGGGACTAATATTTTGGGACAATAAAAAATAAAATAAGGGACTAATATTTTGAGACGGAAGGAGTAAATAAACAAAACAAAACAAAAAAGTAAACGCTCCAAATACCTTGGTCTATATACATTATTCTTTAAATTCATCAGAAACTTTATCTTCTACTATGTTTTAAAGAAAATCTCTCGTTAATTAAAAGGACCAATTACATTAACGGTTCTTATAGTGTGAGTCATGTATCATTTTACTCTTTGACTTTTCAATTGTAATATATTTGATCATAAATTTTAAATCTTAAGTCCGTTCAAATTTAATTCTGACTTTTAAATTTTTGTCTAAACCCATACCGAATTTAAAAATATTTTATCCAAACCCTAAAAAAATTAAAACTAGGCTCAAATTACTCGAGTTGAGCCCACCCAAATCGCACCCCTAATAATAACCCCCCTCTCTCTCTCTCTCAACTGAGTTTTTTGAGCTAATCAATCAGATGCTCAACTGAACTAATGGAACTGACATCGACTCATGGACACCAAACTCTGTAATACGCCAATCCTTCTTCGAACAACAACTACACAAAACCCAATGCTTCTTTCCATGGTTGCTTCAACGTAGCAATCAGCGTAGCTAACCATTCCAAACCCATCTTCCCAACTCAAATTCACTTGCCTCTCCACTGACCCAATCACCACCTACCGCCACCGCCACCGCCACCGCCACCGCCACCGCCGATTCTCTCTCCACCCAAGAAGTGGAAGAGCACCACCAGCACAACGTCAGACGTTTTGCGTTTGATGGATGGACTCGGCCTTCCCATACCCATAGACATCTACACATCTCTCCTCAAAGAATGCATCACCATCCGGGACCCCGCCGGAGCTCTTGATTTGATTGCCCACATCAACCGGAGCGGTCTCCGACCTGGGTTGCTGTTCTTTAACCGAATCCTGTTGATTTACGTCTCGTGTGGCCTCGTCGACAATGCCCGGCATGTGTTCGATAAAATGCCCACAAAGGATTGTAATTCGTGGGCGGCAATGATTGCCGGTTATATGGACAATGATAATTACGAAGAAGCTATAAATTTGTTCGTAGAAATGCGATGCAGTCTCCGATACCGTCAAATCAATGTTGATATACTTGGTTTCCCCGAATCTTGGATCATAGTGTGCATTTTAAAGGCGTGTGTTCAGACAATGAATTTGGGACTTGGGAGACAAATTCATGGTTGGTTATCGAAGATTGTTTATTCCCAGGACTTGTTTTTAAGTAGCTCGTTGATTAACTTGTATGGAAAATTCGGATGTCTTGAAGGGGTGGACTCAGTTTTTGATCATATGGGTTGTCAAAACACTGTGGTTTGGACGGGTAAAATTGTTAGTAAGTGTAGAGAAGAGCAATTTGATGAGGTTCTTAATGTGTTTAAGGAGATGGGAAGGGGAGGAGTGAAGAAGAACAGTTTCACGTTTTCTAGTGTTCTGAGAGCCTGTGGGAGGATGAAGGATGATGGGCTTTGTGGCCGGCAGGTGCATGCCAATGCAATCAAACTAGGATTGGAATCAAATGATTTCGTGCAGTGTGGGTTGGTTGACATGTATGCGAAATGTGGATTGCTAAAGCATGCAAGAATGGTGTTTGAGATGGATGCAGAGGAGAGAAATGCTGCGTGTAGGAATGCCATGCTCATGGGTTACATACAGCACGGATGTTGCATTGAGGCCATCAAGATTGTTTACGCAATGAAGTCATCTGGCTTGCAACCTCAGTAATCATTGCTCAATGAAGTCAGGTGTACTTGTGGGAGTAGATTTCTTGAGAACTAGAAGGATGGAAATGTGTACATGAATTGATTAACAGCTCGTTACTTGCATATAGTTCTCATCTTTGTACATGAATTCCACAAAATGTGTAGATGGTAAAACTTTTTTCCTTGCTCCTGCTCACACCGGGACAGACTTCAAGAAATCAGCACGCAAATACAGTGAAATTTTCATGCTCTGATTTCATAATTCGATTTTTGGTCTGGACTTGGGAAACACTGATACATTACAATATTTGATTGTTTGGGTAAACATGAAAATTATTCAGTAGTACCACTGGCGTGTGTTAAAGTACACAAATGTTCAGATCAGCTCCATCCATCCCGTGAATACTGCTCTTATTGCGGTGGAAGCACTTCCTGCACAAGATTATCCTTTATGCGATATATATAGCTGCTGGTGTGTATTTGCGCTAGCTGTATTTGGGATTACATTTTCTCCCTTACTTTAAAGAAATTATAATTCAACTCTTTGTAATTAAAATATTCATTCTCTAATAATATTTATCTCTTTTAACAAAAGCTATAATTTCAGGGTTGACAAATACTTGATCCTGCGGAGAGATTGTGAAGGAGTTGCCAATGCCAGTCTTTAGAAGTTGTCATGTTATATGCATTTGCGAGATCACATTGCTTTTAAGTCGGTACCATTTCATGTTATGCAAACTTTTGAATCACTCGCCATCATGAAATTTATCATTATAGAGTTGTCTATAGAAACTCTAATGTTTATACATTTTCTTTTGATAACCTGTGCATAAGAGGCGCATCAATTGGGAGCCAGTTGTTTCCCAGCATTTCACATGTATTTTTTTTAAAATAAAATTTAAGAGACATACATTTTATATTAACATCTATAAGAGACATACAAAACATAAGCCATGATGAATAATATTACATTTAGCTCAAAGTGATTATCAGAGAGGAAATGATACCCCAAATATTTGCTCAACCCTCAACCTTTGGTACAGACGGCTCGGAGAAAATGTGCCCTTTTTGGTATTGAATCTTGTCGAATGATGGGTCTCTCTCAATTAGCAGATCGGTTGGCTGTGAATCGTGAGGTACGATCACCATAGCTGCCTGTTTTTCCCTATAGGATGCCCAAGTGACCAAATAAAGCCCCACCACGATAAAAAATCCCCCTATAATGCTGTTTCCACATGTAAATTAGACAAAGGGTGAGTTAGTCCAAAGTGCCAGATTATTTCTTGACGATAGTTGCAACTATTTCATTGTAGAACATCGATGTGAGAAAATAAAATTTTCATTATAAATCCAAGCAAAGTAGACCGAAGAATTGCAGTGATGTAAATGGAGCCGAAGTTTTGAGAGCGAACCTTCCCAAATAAATGGGGCTTCCGAGGAAAATCCTTGAGAGGACGGCAGATGCAAACGGTTGAAGTGGATTATAAAGAGCAACCAAAGCAGGTCCCAGGATCTTATTGGACCATGCCGAGAGTCCATAGTTAAAGGCAGATGCAACAATTCCCTAAAGAAAACACACGAACAATACTCTTTAAATCTTTTATCTAATATTTCCTTTCAACATGATTCAATGCTTAAATCAACTGAAAATTATCTGAAACTGTCTAGTCCAGTAAAAATCGCAGGACAAAAAAATCACTAAAAAATAAGGAAATACACACATCCACTGGCCAGAATCGGGTGGAATGAGAATCAAGTGCCCAACCCACACCTGTAACGACCACACATGCCCTAAGTAAGGTTCTTCGAGTTTTGGCTGGCCTAAACATTAAACAGACAGAGCTTAGGCTCCATTTGATTATAAAGAAATAAATGATGGAAAATGAAAATGATAGAAGGTGAAGTTAAAAATAAAAATTAAAAAAAAAAAAGGAAAATAAAATAAAATATATTTTCTTGTATAAATTTGATTAAGATGAAAATTTTGCAAGAAAATACGAATTCTAATCATAACAGAGTACTTTTATGACAAATTTAAATTTTCTTGTATTTTCATGTGTTTTTTGCTAAAAACTAGAAGCTTAATTACCATGCTATATGAGTTGTACACGAAAATTAACTTTATTGTAAGTCTCACATTTTCATGCTAAACAAACTCAGAAACATTTTGTATGTTTGGTTTGTGTTTGAGAGATGTGTTTTAGAGATAAAAAGTACGAAAAGTTGTTTGGTTTGGTTTTTTTCAAAAGATGTTTTGGAAAATTATTTTGAGAGAGAGTTTTGAAAAAAGTGATTGATTTGATGTGTGTGTGAGAGAGATTTGTTTGGAAAACTTGTTTGGTTTACAAGTTTTGAGAAATTTTTTTGAAAAAATTTGTTTGATTTGATTACTTTTAAAAACTTATTTGTAGAGAAAATTTCCCAAAATTTTTTCAAAACTACAAACCAAACGAACCCTTTATTTTTTTCCATTTTCTTCACTTTCTACCATTTTCATCCTAACCAAATCGAGCCAAGAGAATCAGTTTGGCAGGTTTGCTATAGTTCAGTGTAGTTTCTTTCACTTGATTATATTGCTATTCTTCATAAATTGACCTCCAAAAAAACCATAAACAAACCACAACACAACCTCTCAGAGTTGGACAAAATCATAACCATAAAATAACCCAGAAATAAAATTGTTTAGCAAAACTGCTAACTGAAGGTGAACATGACATATATCAGAAAGATACAGTCCTATCTAAAGAAAATGAAAGAAAGACAGAACAGAGAGAGAGATACTTACGGCATAGAGTACAGCTAAAATCTCAGACTGGGTCAAATTCCAGTCTGTTGACTCATTGGTCATAAACAATGTTGTCACTACCATAAGTACAGCACCAAAGAAGTATGAATATGCTGTCACTGATAGGCTCGCTGGATACTTTGCAAGAACCGGAGCCTGAAATTATTTGACAGCAATAGTAAACCTCACAATAATAAACCTCAGCTCCAAGCTAATCAATCCCACATATAACTACAACAATAGTCATCACAACCCAAAATTCAAGAAGCAATTATAATTTCCCACATATAACTCCAACATATTCATTCATCATTCTCCAAAATTGAAATAGAAGGTTCTTAATCACATGGAAAATTTCAGTTGCAATAAATATTACAAGTTTGAGCCGTCTTTTGTTTAGAAAGCACAATTAAAGAAATGAATGCAATAAAGATGAATTTAAGATGCAAACAAAAATATTAAAATAAGGGTTCATAGATAAAACTGGAAAATAATAATTTGCTCGAACAAATGGAACCCCAGAGAAAGGTATTGAAAAGACATCTTATACGCATTTAAAAGAATTGTGCCAGCTGCATCTTCAGGTTCATGCAAATACTCGGGTGAGTGGACAAAAAGAAATTGAAAACCTCACACCAAAAACTAATGCCAAACAAACCAAATAGAAAAGCATTAGAAAGCTAACAAATTGGCAAAAAAATTGAAAGTGCAGTCAACATAATTGCAAGATAATTCTACCTATTGGTTTCTTATTTACATCAAGCTATAGCAGCTCATATCTACAACCATGAAACAGCAAGGAATTATCTATGAGCATATAAGACTTCATTTTGTTAGGAGAATTCAATAGGTGCATGCAAGGTTTCAAAAGCGATTGCGGTCGCGGGGTGTAAAGGCCATAGTGTAGCAGTTGCGGTAACTGAAACCGTGAATTTTTTAATTTTTTGCACAATTTGAAAAAAAAAAACTTACTGATACATATATTTTTGTTTTTTTAAAATTACATTTATTAGGGTTTAAAATAAATTTTGATCAATTATTAGTTTTTAAGTATGATCCAATATATTTCATATTTTTAAATCACTATAAAAGGAACCTTTTATATTTTATTTCAATAGTTAATGACTTTAAGAATGATTGATTTTAAATGTCTATAAAATTATGTTTGACCAATACTTGAACTAACCAAATAAAAAAATATTTACAATTATTAAATGAAATGATTATTAAAAAAAATTGAGCCATAGACAAAAATTATTTTTGAGATAATATTTTTTTTAAAAGACATTTTTTTAGACAACACTATACAACTAACTAAATACAATTATTTACAATTAAGTATTAAATGAAATGATTATAAAAATTAGTGATTTTTTTTAAAGACATTTTTTAGACAACACATTATGGTAACAAAATAAATTTACAATTAAACATTTAATTAAATGATTATAAAAATAAATACAACCACTGTTTATATTTTTTTTTATTGGAGAATTTTTTTTAAGGTCCCTAGCATTAAGATTTTATAGGATAAAAGATATGCAATATTTTCATAGTAATTGGAGTCCCTCAACATTTTTCCAGAGAAATTTTGATCTAGAGAACTTTTGAAACTAGAGAAATTTCTCCAAGTGTGTTTTGTGTGTTCATGTTTGGAATTTCTCTGGACATATCAGAATCTCCTTAGAATTTCTCTAAGTGTGTTTGTGTGTTCATGTTTAGAATTTCTTTGGGCATTTTCAGTAAAATTTCCCCAGACACATCACAATCCCACAGTGTTTGAAAAAATTCACACACTGACCATAGCCAGAGAAAATTCATAGTGACCACAGCCAAAGAAAATTTACAAAATTACAAACAGTGACCGCAATCAAAGAAAATTCACACAGTGATCACAGGTAGAGAAAATTTATACAGTCAGAGAAATTCACAAAATTATAAATAATGGTCACAACCAGAGAAAATTCACACAGTTCCCACATCCAGAGAAAATTTAATCTGACTCCTGAGCTGCCCTGTCAATAGAATCGACGCTGTCCACCTAGGTCACATCTCCATATCCCACATCGATGACGTCGGCAATTCCTCCAACAAACTCACCAGAGAAGTCGCCGCCTTTGGCCTTCTGGAACCACCGCTTTACGTAGTCCGACACCATCGTTGACAGCGGCGTTGTGCGGTGGTTCTCCCTATCATTGTGCTGCTTTTGCTGCCATTCTTCTTCTTCTTCTTCTTCTTCTTCTTCTTCTTCTTCTTCCAACCTCAATTCGCTACCAATTCTGGTGAGTTTACTGCTTTTGGGACCTAACTATTGTTGTAGATTTAGCTGTTGCTGCTCTGCTTTGTATATATATATTTGTTCTTGGTGGGTTTGGAAGATAATTTGATGAATATTTGATTTCATGATTCAAATTTTGAGGATTTATATAAGGTTTTTAGTGGAGGAGATGAATTTTCCGATCAAGTTCTAAGAGAGCGAGAGATTTGGTGCGAGAAGAGAGAGGAGAGAAAATGAGAGAGTGGGTGTTATATATGGGCGTGGGTGAGAGACCTTAGGTTACAAAAAAAAATTATTGTAAACCTCTCCCATTACTAAAAGTTGGAGAGGGATGTTAGACCAATTTTCTCCTTTTTATTTTACATGCTAATGTAATGAAATAAAAATTAAAAATAAAAATAAAAATCCATATAAGGTTTTTTTCTTTTGGTTTGGATCACTTGAGTATTCGTTCTTTTTTTCTTTTTTTTTTGAAAAGGAAGCTATTTGGAATATTGTAATGATGTGTAACAGGCCGTTATGGTACCGTTACGGCCGTTGCGTAACACCAAAACGGCCCTTACACATGTAAATTTCTGTCACATCGCAAAAGCGAGTGTAACAGGTAGTGCTTACCATTGCAACCGTTACGTAACGGCCGCAACCATTACGTAACACCATTTTTTGAAACCTTGGGCATATGCTTAAAAAAAGACAAGTGAAGATGAAAGAGGACAGGTAAATCAGCCAGGAGAGAAGGTTGGAGTTGGACAATATTGCCTTCATGATATATGAAATTGGAGACAGATTTCCAGAGCACTGGGCAATATCGCCAATATCGCCTTTAGAATATTTTGTTGTTCAAATATTCTTGTTTTTGTTTTATGGGTGTTGCCTACTTGGAACCTTCTTTAATCTAAATTTGGTTTTGAAAAGGAGTGTGTTATTCAAAGGTGGCATAAACATCAAGCAAAATGGAAGGAGCTCATTGAAGTCGACCAGAGTGCTAGTTTTTTCAAGGACACTCCTTTTTCGACTCATCTACTACATGATTGACCACACTAAAAATTTTATTGCAAGATGAACCCACATTGTTTCTCATGTTAGAAGTTGTATGCAACAATGGCATATTCAACAATGAGTCTACGTAGAGCTTTTTCAAATTATATGAAATTTCGTATCCATTTTTACTTTACCTTACCATTTTCATCAATTTAATATAATAGACACTCAGAATCTACAAAATGAGATAAATTATCAAATACCTGAATGGCTATATATGCCGCCGCGCACACACAGTTCCCTATTAAGCACAAGACACCTAGGTGCCACTGATCAAGCCCAAACTTCAAAAAACTAGGCATAAACCATACAGCTGGTTCAGGTTGACCCTTGATAATTATTTCACTATGTGCTGCAAATTCTGACTCCGTATACCCAATCAAGGATGGACCTCGAAACAAAATCATCAATAAGGCACCAAAAACACAAACGAGTGTACCTCCAACCTTTGCCTGACCTTCAGTTCTGAGAAAATTCACTGTTTCTGTACTGCATGAACAAGATTTGCAAATCATATTGAAGAAGCAATAGCAATGCAAGAAATTAGTTAACAAAAATATGCATACCATATAGACGAATATGTGCATATATGTGTGTGTATATATATATAGAGATAGAAGCAAGCACCACATGATTCAGGCAAGAATAGGAAGTGATCAAACTAACCCCATCATAACAGCCAATATGAACGTAAAGACGGGCATAGCAGGTTGTATGGCTGCAGCATACGTTGGATTTGTGTAACTAAGACCGAGAAGAAACAATAGCTGGTTGCCGAATATCCTATTTCAATATTAAAAAATGAGACATAACCACGCAGATTGATTAGTATTATGTTAATTCTATCAGACCCTTAATATATAGTATCTAGCAAACTCTACCTAAGAAGTTCAGGAGATTTTTTTAACTTACCCAGTTAATCCAAGAAAGAAGAATGACATGAGGAGTTCTTTAGTCATAGGTGGTCTAACTCTTCTGCAAGCATGAAACAAGAAACTGTTGAACAAGCTGTACTGAATATATTCATTCATTAAATATAATATAAAAGAACAAATAAGTTGTTGGGTTCATCTCTACAACTAAATATACAGATGGACAAAGAACTGCAGTATATAGCTGGTATCCACAAATGTTGGTTAAGCAGCTATATTGATTGCATGTCAATAACAGGAAAACCATACAAGCTTTAGAGTAACGCTGTAGCCAGGAAACAAATAAAAAGCATGAACCCAATTCACCTCTGCATGTCTGTTTGTCAATCGGATTAAGATAAATGGCAAGCAGAATAGTACTGAAAACTGAACTACAAACAAAGAATTCCCTCAGAAATTTTAGATTCAAGTGTGTTGAAGTTTGTGACCTGGACAATCCAACATGATATAGTGTAGACAATAGATTCTGTGTTCGAACATCATCACCTATCTAATAACTAAAATAGGCACATGTGTGTGAGAGTAAAAGGAGAAACACTATTTATCATTGATTTTGTTTCAACACTTAAATTCATATACGTGTAGTACACATTTTGGTGAACTATTTTGGAATTGAAAATATAACTAATAAATTATCTCTCTCTACTAGCTTAAGCTATGAGTTGGCGGTTAACAATTGGGGATTCAGCATTAAAATTTACAAGGAAATGAAATCTCAACAATCAAATTTCTTTATCAGAACATCACAAATAAGCTATGAATCTAAATCCATTCAAAAATCCTTTCAGTAGCCACACCTAGGGTATGGTGAGGGGGAGGTCCAATGTTCGAGCTGATGGAGTAGCATACTAATGCTATCTGTTAATGTATAATGTTAATGTATAATGTATATAGTATAATATATTATAGGACAGAGCATAGAAAGCATAGGATTCTTTTCTTTCGGTTGTAAAGGCCAAACACCACTCACACACTTTCATTATTACGCATAGCTTTTGTCTTCTCCTTTCGGTGCTTCCTCTATAAATGAGCATCACTCTTGTAACCAATATACAGATTGAATATAACATTCATTCAGATATTTCACATATCTCACATGGTATCAGAGCACAGGTGTTTTGCCTAGTCTCTTCTTCCGCTGCATCACATTTTTTGCTTAGCAGATTGCTGTGTATCTCGTTCATCACATTTTCTGTTTGGTAGATTGTTGCATATCTCGTCCTTATCTAACTTACAGATTGGACCATACCAGAACCTTCGTCTCCTCACGACGAATCCAACGCCACCAGATTCATCATCATCCGACATTCCACAAGCCTCCATGCGCCGCCAGAACTTCAAGCCACGCGCTTCCTCGTTCTCAGACGCGCTCTACGCGCCTCATACACCTGTCCCGTGCTATTGTGTGCCGCGGCCTCATCTGCTAACGTGAGCCGCATGTTTCTGACGTCAACCCTGGCTGCTTTCGTGCGCCGCTTGTTCTCCTCTGCTATCGTACGCCGCGCCCTTCTCTGCTAACGTGCGCCGCGCCTGTGACATCATCTCTGTGACAGTGACATCATCCTGTTTGACCAGAATTGTTGACCAGAACAGTCAACTCACTTTGACCAGCCAATTTAGTGCCTTTCTGGTCATATTTTTTGGTCAGTTCACTCCTTTCCCACTGATTTCGACCCTCTGAATTCACTGGTAACCTCGGATTTTTCAGATTCTACCACGATAGTACTGTTTTTCCCTCATGGATCGGCTGGACTCCTCTAACCACCCTATTTCCGTTGTTCTTGACGGGACTAACTATGTCTTATGGGCACAAGCTATGTCTGGGTTCCTCAAAGAAAAGAAACTTTGCCGCATCATCACTGGGGATGTATGCAAACCCATCCAAGCAACCACGGAATCCGCTACCACCACGGAATCCGCTGCCAAATATGTCGACCGTCTGGAGGATTGGGATAGTAAAAACTATCAGATCATCACTTGGCTTCGCAATACTTCTATTACCTCTATCAGCCTTCAGTTTGGTCGATTCTAACTTGACTCTGCTTCCTCTCCAGCCAAGGCCATCTGGGATTTTTTACAAGAACGCTATCAGACTACTGGCCTTGCTCACCAATATCAGCTTCTGAGTCATCTTTACCGTATGTGCCAAGAAACAACTCAGATCATTAATGATTTCCTCTCCCAAATGTATTATGTTTGGGATCAGCTCGCTCTTTCGGAACCTCCATGGGATTGTACTAAGGATGCTGCCTTGTTTACTACTTACCGTGACCAACAGCGCTTGGTTCAGTTTCTCATGGCTCTCACTTCCCGTTTTGAGCCAGTACGCGCATCTCTGCTTCATCGCACTCCTTTACCCACTCTTGAGCAAGCAATTTCTGAACTCCTATCAGAGGAAACCAGGTTTGGTGCTCTTCATCCGCACCCTATGGACTCTGTTCTTGCCACTCCCCAGATTCGGAGTTCTCCTTCACCACCTTCACCACAGAAGTCAACTTTCTGCAACTACTGTCAAAATCGCAGTCTTCCGTCGACTCATCTTCTGGTTAATTGTTCAGTTCATCTTTGTCGGTTTTGCAACAAGACTGGTCCTGGTCATCTCCAGCAAGATTGCTTCCGCAATCCCGCTCGTGCCTCTCGCAACGGTCCTTCCCCTGGGCATTTTTCCCGCAGCAACTCTCACTGTTCTGGGCCTCCGTTTAAACCAATCCCTGCTCAAAGCACTGCTACTGCTGCTGCTGCCTCAGAGGATTTACTTTTCTCTGTCCCTATAGATCCTTCCACTCCAGTCTTCTCTCAAACAGATGTCGAAGCCATGTTTCAACATTTTTGGCAGAATTCCGGTACTCCTCCATCTACTGCTTTATCTACCACCAGTCAACTTTCTGCAACTACTGTCAAAATCGCAGTCTTCCGTCGACTCATCTTCTGGTTAATTGTCCGGTTCGTCTTTGTCGGTTTTGCAACAAGACTGGTCCTGGTCATCTCCAGCAAGATTGCTTCCGCAATCCCGCCTGTGCCTCTCGCAACGGTCCTTCCCCTGGGCATTTTTCCCGCAGCAACTCTCACCGTTCTGGGCCTCCGTTTAAACCAATTCCTGCTCAAAGCACTGCTACTGCTGCTGCTGCCTCAGAGGATTTACCTTCCTCTGTCCCTATAGATCCTTCCACTCCAGTCTTCTCCCACACAGATGTCGAAGCCATGTTTCAACATTTTTGGCAGAATTCCGGTACTCCTCCATCTACTGCTTTGTTTGTCACCGCAGGTAACACTTCCTGGTACTTTGACTCCGCTTGTTGTAATCACATGACCTTTGACCCTACTATTTTTACTCCTCTCTCTTCTACTCCTCATGTTCCTTCTATCCATACTGCTGATGGGTCTCTTCTGTCTGTAAGTCATGTTGGTTCTGTTTCCACCTCTCACTTATCTTTATCCCATGTATATCTTATGCCTGCTCTCACTTTAAATCTTATCTCCATTAGTCAATTATGTGAGCATGGTCTAACTGTTACCTTTTCCCATACTGGTTGTTTGGTGCAGGACCCTCGGACGGGGCAAGCTCTTGGGATAGGCCGTAAGCATGGACATCTCTACGAACTTATCCATCTTCATGTTCCGGCTTCCTCTCAAATCACCGCTCCTACCACTATTACCACTGCTCCTCCTTTATCTCCTTTTCAGCTTTGGCACTGTCGTTTAGGCCATCTTTCTGTTGGTCGTTTAAAATCTTTAATTTTTAGTGGTCATTTAGGTCCTGTAAGTTCTGATGCTTTAGATTGTGTGTCTTGTCAACTTGCCAAACAAGCTGCTTTGTCGTTTAATAAAAGTGACTCTGTTTCTCTTGCACCATTTGATCTCATCCATTCTGATATTTGGGGACCCTCTCCTACTCCCACTATGGGCGGTGCCCGCTATTTTGTTATTTTTATAGATGATTTTTCCCGTTTTACATGCTTATTTCTTATGAAAAATCGCTCTGAGCTCAAACAACTTTATTACAATTTTGCTACAATGGTTAACACACAATTTTCTAAAACTATTAAAATTTTTCGCTCCGACAATGCCATGGAATATAAAGATTTTGACTTTCTTTCCTTCCTTCAGAGTCATGGTACTCAACCTCATCGTTCCTGTCCCGGTACGTCTCAACAAAATGGACGTGCAGAACGGAAACATCGGCATATTCTCGACACTA